AGGTTCCCAAGGCCGGTCCCTTCCCACCGGCCCCTCCTCGGCTCCCCCGGGGCCCGCAGAGCCCTGAGCACGGACACCAGGGCCCACAGCCGATCACTCCCGCCCTGGGGGGCCCACCCAAGTCACAGCAAGTTCATTCTTTCAAGGACACGATCTCAGACCCCGAACCCAGCCGCTCATCCGACAGGGGCTGAGAGGAGAGACGTCCACAGGCGGATGGGGGGCAGGTCTCCCCCCGCAAATCTCCTCCTGGGGGTCTGAGGCCCCCCAGGGCCCTGGGAGGGCTGCACACGCCTCGCACATACCTGGTACATGTTCAACACACCAGGGCCAACTCCTTCTCCAGCCACCGGAGGGCCTGCCTCTGCCCAGCGCCCACAAGCCTCTCCTTCAGCCCTTGCTCGAAGGCCCCGGGGAGCCCGGGTGGCCATGCTCCCAGCATCTGGGGGGAGTAGGGGCAGTGGGGGGCTGACGGGAGGTGGGGACAGGCGGCTGGGCAGAGCCAGCCCACGCGGGCAGGAGGCAGCAAGACAGAGCTGTGTGCTGTCCCAAATGTGTGAAGTGGCTGCAGGGGAGTCGGGGGGGGGGGAGCCCTAAAAACTGGGGGAAGCCCAGAGGGGAGGGGGACTCAAAGGAGACCCCAGTGCCAAGAAGATTTCAAAAGCCCCTCCCCGGTCTGTGAGCTCCACACCACTGCTCGGCCAGCTGCCGCCGGGGAGGGGTGCTGGGGACACGTTTCCACAGCGACGGGTCTGTGTCCCCGAGTCATCGTAACTCCCGGCCAGAGGCTGCACAGCCACGAAGAGGCCGCGCTATAAACAGGCCCGTTTAGCGTCCCCCGGGGAGTCTCCGGTGCTGCCATTACTTCTCCAGACTCACACAGAGAGACAGAGGAAGATTATGTTTGTGCTGAGAATTTAAGGCCGCCACGCTGAACGGGCCGCTCTACCCGCCCAGGCCCCCTGGTGCCTGCCACCAGCTCCGGGCGGCCATGCTGGGCCCGGGCCACTTAGCAGGGGAAGCTGTCCATAGGGAGCTGGGCCCCAACAGTTTTTACTGGAACTGCAGAGCCTCCTCCGCCCCCCGCCAGGGCCCTGGAGCCTGGCTCTCTTCCAGTCACACCTCCCACTGTCAGCCCCGCCGCCTTCCCAGCCACCAGGGCCGACGAGGCACAGGGCACAGCCAAATATAGCCGCTCACCTCCCTCCTCTCTGTCCCCAGCCCCCACCGTCTCATGCCCTCACCCCTGGGCCAGCCCAGGCGGCCTCTGTCCTCTCCCAACCTCCTCGGCACGGCCGCCAGGCTGACAGCCCTGCAGCACGCAGCCATGTCCAGGCCACACCCTGCTCCAGAACCTTCCATGGCTCCCTAGTGCACAAGCCCAAGGTTGCACATGCAGGTGCCCACAGGGACCAGGTTGGGGACACAGAGCATCCCCTTCAAACACAGCAGGGACTGGTAGGGACTGGGACACACAGAACCAGCTGCTGCCGAGCCCCCACGACTGTGCCGAGTGGGGTCTCTCCCACCACAGGCCCTGGCGGGGACCACACACAGCGTCCTTTTTAATATTTTTTTATTGATTTCACAGAAGAAGGGAGAGGGAGAGGGAGATAGAAACATCAATGATGAGAGAGAATCATGGATCGGCTGCATTCTGCAGGCCCTCCACTGGGGATCGAGCAAGAAACCCAGGCATGTGCCCTGACCAGGAATCGAACTGTGACCTCCTGGTTCATAGGTCGACGCTCACCCACTGAGCCACGCCGGGCGGGCTCTTCCGGCTTTTATTCAGGCCCTGGCTCCCGGCGGTCCTGGCTGGGAGGAGGTGGGCGGGGCGGGCAGCCTCCTCTGGGAGATGGAGGAGCGGCACCTGCACAGGAGGCCTGGCACACGAGGGCTCAGCCATGGCCCCTGCTACACCCTCACCCGACGTGACCGCCGCCCTTTGCTGGGTGGGGTCTGCTGTGGCGTCTTCCAGGGGATGCGGGAAGGGACAGGGACTGTGTCCCCTTCGCCCTCTAACGCCCACAGAGCCCACCAGCACTCACACGTCGCTGGTGCTCAGCATATGTTCTTGGCTCAATCGAGTGGGCGTGGCCAGGGGAGGGCGAGTGGGGGAGGGCAGGCTAGACCCAGCGCGGGTACAGCTCCCATAGGGTCACGTACCCAGGGCCTGCATGGTGAGACCTTCTGCTAGTGTAGAAACATCTCGCCTGGGGTGAAATCTCAGCTCTGAGACCACAGCTCCTTGCTGCCTGCGCCCCAGGCCTCTGGCTCCCCAGCCAGCAGACAGCACGGCAGAGCAGGTGCAGGTGAGGGTCCCTGTCCCCCTCCAGGCGGGACCCTGACGCCCAGCCCCCGACTCACACACAGCTCATCACTCCTCCTTTCACATCACCCACCACCCTAGTCAAGAGGAAACCTCTCACCCGGCCGGCGGGGCCCCGTGGGTGAGCGTCGACCTATGAACCAGGAGGTCACGACATAGGCAGGGCTTTCAAACGGAGGAAATGAGAAAGCCGCCAGTCCCCCTGTCACCCCAACTCTCAGGGCCCTGCCTGCCCGTCCTGAGCCCCTGGCGTCCCCTCACCTCGGGGGAGCCCCACCACACACAAGGTCAGGGTCAGCGCCTTCGGGGGACCCACTCCTACTCCCTGGGAAGCTGGGCCCCTGCACCCACTGAGCACGGCGATGCTGGAGCTGGTGGTGGGGGCGGGGGCACCAGGGACCAGACTCGCCCTGAGCACCCATGTGGTCGCTCTCTCAGCCGCTGGGGCAGTGTCCCCTCACCTCGGGGGAGCCCCACCACACACAAGGTCAGGGTCAGCGCCTTCGGGGGACCCACTCCTACTCCCTGGGAAGCTGGGCCCCTGCACCCACTGAGCACGGCGATGCTGGAGCTGGTGGGGGGGGCGGGGGCACCAGGGGCCAGACTCGCCCTGAGCACCGATGTGGTCGCTCTCTCAGCCGCTGGGGCAGCATGCTGTCAGACAGCCACTTTGGAAAGTTGTCACACCCACCGAAGGCGAGCCGACTCTCAGCCGTGACCCACCCAGCCAGCCCTCGAGACGGCCATTGGCCACTGAAAACGGCACGCACAGGTTCACCCGACACCTACAGGGATGCTCACGGCAGCGCATGAATGGAAACAACTCAGAATGCAAGCTCCCTATGTGCCCATCGCGAGCAGATGGATGGCCATGTGATCACGCGGTGGAATATTACACACCCGTGAAAAGGAACCCTGTCTAGCCACAGGCGCTCACATGAACGAGCAAAAGACGCCGGACACAAACGAGCGGAGACGCTATGAACTCATTTAGTGCAAAACAGGCCAGAGCAACCTAAGCTGCTAGTCGCCAGGATGGGGGTGACCTGTGGGGGTGGGGGGCGGCAGGGGGCTCTGGGTGCGGGAAAGGCCGGCTTCCTCAGCGGGTGGCACACACACAGGTGTGCTCGGTTTGTGAGAACGCATTCGCGGTACCATCCGTGGTTGTTTTTTATGCACGCCGTCCTTTAAAGGTTTTACAAAACTCCTCAGAGGCGTGGCTGCGGTTAAGACTACAGTGAGAAGGCTCAGAGGAAGAGAAGGGAGGACGTGATCATCAGGAAGCTCAAGGCGAGGCTGACCCCCTCTTCTCCGACGGCAGGGGCCTGGGGAAGGCGGCCACACCTGCACCTAAGACCCAGGACACCAGGACCACAGGCTCCGAGTCCGCACCACCACCCCTCCCCACCGCCCTGTGCTCAGGGGAAGCCCAGCCAGGCCCTCTCTCCCAGGGCCCCCGCCAGGGGACCACACCCACCCACGGAGGGCACGTGAGACTCACAGCTTCCCTCCACACCCACACCTCGGGCCGCGTGGGGCCCCCGGGACTCGGAAAGCTCCCCTCCAGGGAAGGCGGGGTTTTGCGAAGTCCGAACCTCTTGAAGGGGAACAGGGAAACGCCATGTGAATCCGTGAGCGTCCTGTTGGGACCATGTGCCCGAGGGACCCGCCAGCTCAGTGGGAGACGTGAGCCGTTCAGTCTGCTCAACGTCATGACGTACGAAGCAGAAGCACGAGGGCCCGAGGGCCTGACCGCGGGAAAGCACTTCGTCCCGGACACGGAGGGAAACTGAGGCCGGAGGTGAAGAGGCTGTCACAGGGGGGACTGTGATGGGAGCGGAGCCGGGGCCGGAGGCTGGATGGGAAGGAGCCCAGCGCCGGCCCTCGCTCTCCCACCCGAAATGCCTCGCCACAGCGGCCATGTCCCCCCTAACCCTCAGAGCCGGCGGCGGGAGGACAGGAACGGTGGCCCGCGACCCCGGCACGCGGCCCCCTTACCGATCATGTGGTTGGCCACGTGGATCTGGATCTCGCGCTCGTTCTCGAAGGTCATCTGGCACTTGATGCACTGGTAGGTCTTTTTCTGTTTGGAAACCGAAACAGGCAGGAGTCAGACAGGCGGGAGGGAGGGGCGAACAGAGGCAGGAGGTCCGCAGCCCGGCTCGCTCGGGGCTCCCCGATGGCTCCGGTCCCCCCGGGGCCACTCTGGGCCGTGTTCCTCCCGCCTGTTCTGAACCAGCTCTGCAGCCCGAGAACGGGGTCGGACTGCATCCAGAGCAGCGGCTCCCTGCAAGGCCTGCGGACCTGCCCCCTCCCACGGTCACCTGAGGAAGCGCAGGGAGGCTGCCCCGCGGGAGGGTGTGCCAGGCCATCCACCCATCCTCCACCTACCTACCCTCTGTCTCTTCACCCATTCACCACCCATCCTCCTCTTCACCCATTCACCACCCCTCCTCCTCTTCACCCATTCACCACCCCTCCTCCTCTTCACCCATTCACCACCCCTCCTCCTCTTCACCCATTCACCACCCCTCCTCCTCTTCACCCATTCACCACCCCTCCTCCTCTTCACCCATTCACCACCCCTCCTCCTCTTCACCCATTCACCACCCCTCCTCCTCTTCACCCATTCATCCCCCCATCCTCCTCTTCACCCATTCATCCCCCATCCTCCACCCACCTACCCATACTCCTCTTCACCCATTCATCTACCCACCTGTCCACCTACCTACTTACACACACACACACACTTCTATCCAGCCAGCCATCAACACAGGGTCGGACATGCACATGAGGACACACACAGACATACAACACACATATGTACACCCCATACTCACCCTCACCCCAATCACCAGTGACACACAGCCCCCTTGAACACACCCCCACACCCCACACGACAACCAGCTCCCCACATCACAGGTGCACGGACGCCACACCCTCCGCAGAGGGAAGACCACAAGCTCACGCAGGCTGACACATCCAGTCTCATCCCTAAACAGCTTCGGCACCCTCCCTGGAACCCTCGTAGCCACACCCATTCTCTCCCCGTCCCAGATGCACCAGCAACCTCTGGCCCCGTGTGCACAGCCCCACCCAGATCCGCACCCCGTGACCATTCCTGCAGTCTCCTGTGCCCACGTGTGCACTCACACACAGGCATGCACACGCACACACAGGCTCACCACACCACACCCATGATGGTGCGCGTGGACCCAGTGGCCTGGCACAAAGACAGCCCCGTGGCCTTGCCTACGCGACTGGGGCACCCATGTCCGAGCAGAGGGCACTGGCGGGGCTGCGGGTCCCCAGGCTGGGGGGACAAGCACGTGGAGAAGCAGGTGAGGACTCTCTCTCTCTCTCTCTCTCTCTTTCTCTTTCTCTCACCTTGGATTTCCCGCTGCAACCTTGGCCGCCCCCTCCTTGCCCCAACACCTCCTCTTGGCCTGTCTCCCCTTCTCCATCCCCAGGAGACGCCCCCTCCTCCAGGCGACAACCGCACACAGAGCTTGGCATTCAGAGTGGCTCCTTTGCCACCTGCCGCTTCCCCGGGGGGCGGGCAGGGGCCCAGGAGAAGCAACGCTGAGCCCCAGGGCCCGAGGCCAGGCTGCCTCCCCAGCCTGGCCCCGCGCAGCCACCGAGACCCGGGCAGGAGAACATAGAGGATGCGGACACGGGGTCAGGAGGGCAGGAGAGGGGAAGGACAGCAGAGCTGCTGAGGTCCAGGATGGCGGCCACAGCTCACATTTCTTGTGCACCTACTGTGTGCAGGCACTGTCTACTCGGAACGCTCACCATCGCCGCAAGCTCGCTGCAGGGCTGAGAACGTGGAGTTCCAAGAGGCTAAGCCACTTGGCCACAGCCTCGCACCGGGATTCAGGCCCGACAGGCTCCCTCCAGAGCCCCCTGTCCGAGCTGCCGCCCGGGGCTCCAGGCCCCAGACCGCTGAGGACGGCTCTGGTCCAGGTGGCAGGAAGGTGGTGTGGCCGGGGCGAGCCCTCTGATCGGGACGCCTGTTCCCACTGTGGGAGGGCGTGGGAAAGCACCCCCGTGCCCCCTGCGGCACCGTGGCCTGGAGTCGGGGTGATGCTGTTATTACCCATACACAGAGGGGGAGGCGGAAACCTCAATGCTTCACGCTCTAGCCAACAGCAGCCTCGGCCCCACGGGAACCCAGTCCTCCGAGAGCTGGTTGCTATGGATACGCTCCCGAGGGTCCCAGCCTGCCAGCCCCCAAGCCCCTCGCAGCCCCCAGAGTCTGCTCCTGCCTGCGTGAGTCCTGGGGGAGGG